ACCGGGAACCGAACTCACGACCTTGCACTTGCCAGGCAGGCGCTTTGCCGCTGAGCTAAACCCCCAGCCCCTGAGACCGTCTTAAATAGACAAAAAAGGGGCTGGCAATTTAGCTCAGCGGCACAGCGTCTGCCTGGCAAGTGCAAGGTCTTGAGTTCGATTCTTGATACCAGAAGAAAAATAAAACAAAAAACCCAGCCTGGGCTATTTGTCTGGTTTTTTTGAGATAGGGCCTCACTACCTAGTTTAGGCTAGCTTTGAACTCACTATGTAGCCCAAACTGGCTTTGAACTTCCAGTGATGCTCCTGCCTTAGCCTCCTGAGTGCTGACATTACAGGTATGTGCCACCATGCCCAGCTGCAATTTATTTATTTAGCAAGACCTGACTCAAAACAAATAACAAAAAAACTCTCTGGGGATGTAGCTTAATGCAAAGGGACTGGATTCAATCATATATATATGTATGCATTATATATGTTATATATATTCATACCCACATGAATATACGTATATTCATGTATATCATACAGATATATATCATACAGATACATATTTCCCCCCTCATTCGGAGTAGAGTGCAGGGCCAGTGGCCCGAGTAAGCGTAAAGTTCACAGTGCCAGGGCGAGAGGAAGCGGTCCGTGTCTCCTGAAAGACTGAGGAATGGCTATACCCTGCGGAGGGAGAGCCGAGGACACGGGCTCACCCAGGCAGACACAGCCCCCGGAGGAAGGGAGTGGCGCGCGCTGAGAGGCGAGCCCGGTGGGAGGAAGGAGGATGAGCCAGGGCGAGACCGGACCCGGGGCGGCTCGAAACACCCAGGCGTCAGCCACTGCGCCGCACGCGGGAAGCGAGGGAGAGCCATGTTAGTCTGAGAGAGTGGTTTCAGCAGGGTCGGGGGAATCCGGGGGCTCAGCCTGTGCAAAAACAGCCCCCGGCGAAAGCACTCGGTGCTTCCCCGGGAACCGCTGTCTGCGCGCCGGTCCGCGGGAAGGCGGGCGCTGGCCAGCGGGCCCCAGGACGACGCCAGGCGCCGGGCCGGGCTCATCCCCGTCGCGGGGCTCCCGTCCACAAGTTACGGAAACCAAGTTTACAAAAGTGTCCGCGCCCTCCCCGGCCGCAGCGCTGCGCGGGGGCCCAGCCTCGGGTCCCTGAGTACAGGGGCGGGAAAGGGAAAGCAGGGTGACAGCGAGCCACCGCAGGTGGGGAAGGCGGCGGGCGCGCGCGCGGAGGGCGGCCG